GAAAATATTTAAAAAATAAATAATATAAGAAGCATGGGAAAATGAGAAAAGGTCCATAACATTTTATTTTCTTTTATATTTTTTTTTTCAGACTGGCAGAGTGGGGCAAGACCTAGCCCGCACCATTGCCGTAGAGGTAAGGGGGAGTTGATCTGGACAATACCAACACCGAACGGCTTGGGGAGCCAGATCAGCCCTCCATCCACCACTAGTTTCTCCAAAGCCTTACAGCATTAGGCCATCGGCACATAATAACTTGCCTTTCTCATGTAAAGCACGTTTCATCCCTCAAGCTCAACGCTTTACCAAGCCATCTTCATTGTGTCCATAAAAATATGAAAAAATTGCCAAATCAAAACTAACTTAGATCTAATCCATGCCAAGAAATTTATAAATATAGACCTCGTATACCATATCAAATTAGTATTAACTTGTTGGTATTAATACAAAGCATTAAGCTAAATGTATTAACCATAAATTGTAATAAGCCAAAATCTCAGTAGCAAGTCTACATATCAATAAATGTGATTAATTTAGGTAAGAAATATGTGTTTCAGAAAATAGGGTCACCACCACCACATTAAATGCCTTAACCTAGCACTATCCACCTGTCGTACTAGGTAAACTAGTATTATTATTTCAGGACCATGGCAAGGAGCCACAGATTCCGTGTCGGTCTGGGGATACAGTACACTTACTCCTCGTCCGAGACTCGGATTGTTTATTTTGTGAGAAAGCCTGAGAACGCAGACCTCACTCTGCCCGACAATCATATCCATGTCTGGTAGCCGTTAATTTGTGCCAATATTTGTGGGCAATTCTGCATCTATTCTTCAAGCATCCTACACTTGCAGCGGGGCTAATACTATTTATAGGGCAAAGAGGAGAACTGGACCTCTAAGCTAGGCCCTAATTGAGAAAAAAACAATGTTGGTTATTTGTCAGTAATATATTTAATAGGTCTATGAAACTATGATAAGTTAGCAAGAGCTCAGCTGTCATTAAGCAAATTCTTGCCCTGGAAATTAGTGCAACTACTAGCATGAGTTACACATAATCATGTGCACATGGAAAACGCCATACCTATCTTCTGTCCTAGACGTGCAATTTGAAGTAAAAGAATTGCCATAAAGTCTTTCAAGTACAAACCAAAGAACAAGTTGAGTAGCACAAGGGGAACCGGAAAATCTCAAATAATGATGTTATTAAAGTGTAACAACAAAGAAGAATGCAACAATTTGAAGTATCAGAGTTGAATATGTATGAAATTGAAGGTCAAACTCAAATAATAAGCCTTAATGATGAAATTGAAATATTAACGTAAATTGTTGTTGATGACTTGAAGTTACGTGCACAAACCTTATTTAATGATAGCTGATGGAAGACTTTGTGAAACAAAAGCCAAGCAATGCTTGCGAGCAAAGGCATATACATAGACTTTCTTCGCCTCCTACTCTTTGCAATTACATGCAAGTGTTGACCACCAATTGATTAGTTTGCTTCGTGATGTGCCCATTTCTAGCTTTACTACTAACAAATAAAATTGCAAAATTAATTAAAGACAAACAACATCATTTTTCCATTGCCAAAGGCATCATTTCGCCATTTCACTTTTTGCCTCTTTTATTTATTGTTTATTTTGCTTTTTAACTTTTCAAGCAATAGAAAGTGCTTTCACAATTTATTATTAACGCACGCTTCTATGTGAATTCATGTAGACTAAATTTGGAATAAACTTCACTAACTATATGATTGGTAAGTGTTGTATATTTGTTGATAAGAGAAAGATTGATAAACAATTGACAGTCATGTAATTGTGTCTTTATTATTCTCCTTTTTAACTCACAAAATTAAACCTCCCAATAATTAAATCTGTACTCTAATTATCATTTATAATAATCATTAATTCAATATAGCTAACCTAAAAATCTATCATTAATTAGTTCTCAAATACCAACATTGTTGACTGATCTTTTAACAAGAGAGCATATTGATTCAATTTTAAGATCTAATCTCTAACCCCTACTCATGGTTGCTTTAATTATTTCTTTTTCTATCCATTATATATATATATATATATTTATATCCATTCATATAGCTAAGATCTTTAATAGAGAGAGAGAGAGACAGGAGATCTTCCATTATTTTTTTTATCTGTTACTTTTAATATATATCCATCATTGTCATTTTCATATTTAAGGTCTACAACTATAATTAACAATCATATTTCACATATATGAACAAAAAATGGTAATGGAAGGAAGGAATCTAAATCTTTCTAGTATTTTGAGTTACATATAGCCAACAAAACCCTAATTTTTTATTGTTATGAAAAAAGAAGGAAGGAAACAAGCAAAAGTATAAAGAAGACAATGTTGTTATTTGTTTTGGATGATAAGATCATACTGATGCATGCGAGTGCCAGGCAGCCATGACGCAGAGGTTTTGGAGTCGGTTGGTAGGTCCATTTAAGGGGAAAAGATGAATGGGTGTGCTTAAGGGCATCATGGCACATGGCACATGACATGAGACATGAGTCCCTTTCCTTTCCCTTTGATGATGGCTTTTTTACACTTTATTGGACCACAGCTTTCGGCTGGCACTTGAAAGGGAAAAAAGTGGCCCATTTACAGCTATTTTGCTAAACACCTATGTTAAAAATCATTACTTCCATATTAAAGCCTATTCAACCTCATCCATAAACCTCAACATCTGCCTCACCCGGCCCAACTCCATGCTTAGCTCTCATACTCCTTGACTAATAAAGGTGTCCATATTACGTATAATTTTCGCAATATTTTGCTTAATGAGAACCATCAGTGTATTATCTTTGAATTCTCTCCAACACTTTAGAAAGTTTTGATGTGTGTTCTTTTTTTCTTATTATATCATAATATAGTAGGATGCATGAGAAGAGGAGTCAAGTCTTGGCATTTTGTGATTATTAATAAGATTCAGCTAAACCTTCAAAATGGAATTGAAAGTCCCACTTCACTTAATACCCAAAACATGACAAATTATGGTGGAAAGTTGTATTGGTTGAAGTTGCTAGGCTCAATTGGCAGGACAAGACAAATGCAGCCATGAAAGAAGAAAAGTGCAGAGATCCACTTGTAACCCACATACATAAATTCCATGGCATATATAAATATATTATATATGTAGGTAGAGGACACATGGTTTTTCATGCAATGAATCTAATGACACATTGCTTCCAAATATATTTTTGGGTCAGAGAAATGGTTCCAAACTTTGACCTCTACTCGTCACTTGTCATTAAGATTTGAGGCACAAAATTATTAGCAAAGTTTCCAGATTTTTGCCGCATGTGGTGATCCTGTCTCATTTTATTGACGTGTAACTTTCAGCTTCACGTTGTGGCCCTTTTCTCCATTTCTTTGGGCTTCCTATTTCTTCTCCTATTTTTTTAAAAATTTTTTATTTAATTTTTTTGTAATATTATGCACATACATAGTAATTGTTATTTTTCTAACTGATTTTAATGTATTTTTGGTTCCAACGTCGGTGTATAAAATAATAATACATGCTATTATTAATAAATTTACTCAAAACATCTTGTCATTTTAAAACTCTGACATTATTTATTTCTTATAATTTGGGATAAAATTGTATAAAAAGGGATAAATGACAAAGAATATAAAACATACAATTAGAAGATAACAAATGACCTTCTAAATATAAAATAAATAATTACGAAAAATTGAAGTAATTGGTTGGTACTTGATATTGCAAAATGTTTTTTTAATATTATTTTAATTATAAATTTTGATATGCAATTAATTTCTTTCAGATTGGGATTTAAAAATAAAATTGATTCATTGAATTGCAACACAAAAGGCAGCCAAGCTAGTTTTGAATCAAATGGTGATATGAAATACTTAAATTATATTATAACATGGAAGAATTTCGCGGTGAATGAATCTTACACCAAAGATCAAAGTAATGGGCAGTCATGTGCAGGAATACGCAACACAATCATGGTGACAAAGCCCCCTGCACATTTTTTCTTCTTTATTTTCCATAATTTTTAAGATTTATTTTATAGTTTCCCAAGGAACAAAATCAGATACTAAGTGTCCTACTTGTCCCTTGTGTTTTTTTTTTCTATGTTTTGTTTTTTCAATTTTATTGGCAATCTCTTCTATTTTTTCTTGGGTGTTACAATATTTTGTAGGCATATAATCATGAATATTGATTCCCACCGATTCTATTTTTGTTTCGTTGATGGGATTATTAAATGTATTTCACATAGGATACCATGTGTCCATGACAGCCTTCTTCACAAAGGGACATAAAAGAATGGGAAAGACAAATGCCATGAGCCCTAAATATATCATGGAATGTACTCCAAAGGTCTGACCCAAGGAACAAAATTAAGAAAAAGTATCTACTCTACAAGAAAAAAGGATTTTAATAATTTGGATCCGTTAATTAACAAATTAACAAGTTATAATTTATTGAGGTTCCATTTGGTCTATGGAGCAATAATAGTTTATTGGAGTTCCATAATGATGTGTAAAGAAAAAACAAGGATGAATTAACATATGATAGCAGTGTTTTCTTTTCTGCTTTGTAGTTGCATGTTCTTCCTAATGATTTTGTTTCCCTTTAAGAATGATTGGAATGAGTTTATGTTATTCATAATATTTCATAACTCTGCTTTTAACAAAGTTTGATTAAAAGGAAAGAGACGGAAGTTTTACTGAAATATCAAAACAAAAATGATTTCTGTAATTGCTGAATCTCAATTGACAGCTCAAAAGAAGATCTTCCAACCCTTAATTAAAAAGAAATAGTCTTACTGAATAGGTCCTAGAGCCACCATGATTTCTATAGTTTGCATGCATAACTATGGATTTCCTTGTATATTTGTTTCCATCATTTTTGTTTAGCAGCTATACACTTCTGTTTGCTCTTCCTTTGTCACCCTTGAGGTTCACTTTAATGACAATGCCCAGAGAAAACAGACAACCAGTTGAACAGGTTCATGATCAACAAGCAAAAATGCACAGCAACCTCTGACTGACTGACTGAAACTGAAAGGCACCCTTCGATATTCCCTCTTACTGAACGATAACACAGTTTGGAGTGCTCTATTATAGGATGGATTTACATGGAGAATCTTATCCTTCCATCTAGCTGCATATGCATAAAAAAGAGAGGAGTGTGAACGATAAGAACCACCTCATAACTTCATTAAAATGTTTATGATAAATCATGCTTACAGTTTCTGAAATAAAACTGGACTCAGATTCGATTTCCCCTCCTCGTCATCCTCAATTTTGTGAAGCCCTAAAAAGATACTGGAGCATGACTCACGTGACGTGAATTGCTTTATACAATCAAGTGGAACAAATCCCCTTTAGTACTTCACAAATCCAGCACCCTGAGCCTTCCCTAAAACTGACTCTATGTCACCATGAAACAAATCTAAATTTTTTGCCACAGCGAAACCAGCATACATCCCATCAACTGCTGCACTTACAATCCCACCAGCATAACCTGCTCCTTCACCAACTGGGTACAGCCCTCTTAAAGACATGCTCTCATATGTGTCACGTGGCGTGGAATCTGAATGGAGAGCTAGTTCTAGTCTGAAAGAAAGAATGAAATTTGAACAGAAAGTGAAAAAGACAATTGATGCAAAGAAGCTGCAAATCAATTAAATTGTCATAAAATAATGTCAGTCACCATTTAAAGAAGCATAAATGAGATAGAGAGATATGTGAACTTCCCAAAGAAAACTTCTTGGGATCAACAATAAATATTACGTTCTCTAAATGCTGTGTCCATGTGTGAGTGTGTCTGTCTGTCCGTGTGAAGGGGAGGGGGGGGGGGGGGGGGTGGGGAGGGGAGCGGCACGGTGGGCAGCATGAGAGGACTAGATCTAGTTTGGAAGTGAAAATACAAATTTCATGGTATGATTAAAGTTGTGAACAACGATTTAATTTTATGAACATGTTGCAGAGATCATGAATTAGACTGGCCAAATGGGAAGAAGATTCACGTGGCAAAGCCCAATGTGTTTGAGATTATGCTTTACTTGAGTTGGATTAAATTAATGACAAGACTATAATACATTTTATGAAATAGTTTGTTAACCAATTTATAGAGAAAAGCCAAAAATGAGGCTATGGAGTATGCCAAAAATGAGGTTATGGAGTATGCCAAAAATGAGGTTATGAATATGAGAAGCAGAATCCAATCTGATATCAAATGCACAAAAAAATACTACTCAACATAAAGAAAAGTGTAGCAGCAGGAAGTTGGTTACCTCTACTCCATGAAGAAGAGCCTCCTTGGAGATAAATCCAGGTAGCTGAAAGTTCAAATGGTTGGAGAATAAGAAAAGCTTCCTAGGTTTAGTTTGGATATTATCAAATGGACATGGAAAATGGGAAAGCGGAATAATGTATTGGGGAAATATAATAAGACCTCTTTATCAAACATTGAGATAGAATATCGTATAGCATCTGTCATATACATGGGGAATAATTCATGGAGACTTGCTGCCTTCACTCCTAACCGGTAGCTTGATGGTGGCATAGATGTTACTGATAAGATAAGGCAAGTTTTTGTCAAATGAAAATTAAAAGCAAAACAAATTTGGAAACACACAAAAAAATGTTACCTGATGCTTTATTTTCCATGAAATCAGGAACTGTCTGCACAGGCACCACAAAATTTCCCCCTCCCATTAATGATGCTCTTTGCTCAAATTCCCTCTGAATAACAAAATGATAAAACAGAATTAAAAAGCAATATTGAAGAAAGCCTCAATATTTATTTCTTATAATTCCTACAGGGAGTAGAGACTGCAAACAGGTGAAAGGTAACCCAATAAAGAATGTGGAATTATTTTACTGTGTCATTCATAGAAAAGGAAAATTTTCACAGGGATGTAAGAAGAGTCTGTAAGTATTGCTGCTCTCAAGTTTTTTGATAAGTCAAACAGAAATATGGTGCCTACATGGAAGTCTCTATGGTCAAGCCTACAGTAGTACTAGTTTTTTTTTAAAATACCAAAGGTAAGAACAAAAAGGCAACCTGAAATTTGACCCCAGCAAGAGGTCCATGGAAATTTAATGCATCAAAATCCTTTGTTGAGACAGTCACAACAAGAGCAGCATTTGCCCACCTAGATGAACGCCGAGAAAATGACATCCCATTGATACAGATCTCTGATGGGCTTGTACTAGTGAGAACAACCTGCAAGACCCAATATGAGCGATTTCACCAGAAGATATATTCCACAGATGTTTCTAATATTTATGATGGCTTCCTAACTCTTCGTGCCTGTACCTAAAACCTATATATCTAGATTCGACTAAACACTCTTCAAGAAAATAGTTAATCAGAAAGTTCAAATGTTCTCCATTATGCAAATGACCATCAAGAGTTATGAAGCATATACAAGATAAAAGTTACAATACAGTTTAGATATTTTAATAAAAAATATAATACTTTACTACATTAAAGCCTATTGTATATTAAACAGTATACCATTCAGTTGAAAGTGTATTAAAGTACATGAAAATTCCTTCTCATAATGAGCTACAACCTGTATGTTATTCTCTTTCTTAACTCTTATCCATTAAACTGATTCTTAATCTATGATTCCATATATGATTCTTAATCTATGACAAACATACCTGGCCACCAGGGCACATGCAGAAAGAATAACAACTACGACTTGTAGACTCCAACTTGAATGGCGAGTGTTCATCCTCATTGCTAACATACTGTATGACCTTATAATCTGCCACTGGTACTTTCCCACGTCCTCTGCAAACTTCATTGGCCAATCCAGAGTACTGCACAGGTGAATAGTTCAGACCTTTAGAAATATAAGAACAATTTCAAAAAGCAGGAGCCTTCTCATGGTTATAAAACTTCATTTTGTTTCAAGTTTATTCTACATAAATTCTTTATAAACTTCATTAATAAAGAGTCAAATAGTCTGCTGACGGTGAAAAATTCTGGATTTTCAGTCATTCCCTTCTTTCCAAGTCATAAAAAATCACATCACAGAAAACCTGCCTACAGATAATGATAACATAAAATCTAATGCAAATGGAAGCTATATGATAATTTGAAGCATGATGGAAGCCCTATAACATTGTGATATTAGAGACTAAAATTTGGTTGCTAAAACTTTAAACTTAAACCTCAAAACTCCTCCAATAGTAATAATGTTGACGCTCAGGGTGACAACTATTGGAGTTTAATATCACCTAGAAATATGGATCACACATTAAAGGCCAAAGCACGATGAGGAAAGACAAGAGAGAGAAAAAGAAATGATTGAAAGAATGTAGTAGTTGCATTCCGCGCACAACACTGCACTAATACCAAGGAGCCAAATACTTAATCTTCAACATTTTCACAGTTTGGATATGTTTACACAAAAATTATTCAGATTTCAAGACTTGAGGTAACATGCAACTTGGAGGGCAAATTATTTTGTAACCCAGCTAGACAGTGGACCAGAGACATTTAATAAACTTGATTAATTTCATTACAAGATTTACAAAACAAAATCTGCATGCAACGAAACAACTACAGGAATAAGAAAGAAAATGACCACAAGAAAGCCGTGCTCTTCTCTGATTCAACAGAATGGCAATAAGTCCTCAGATGTTGATAGACATGGAAGTCCTTAAATAAACACAAATTTTTTTTGTCATGGGGCCGCCAGGGGGTTGGGGTGGGGGTGAGAGAGAAGGCACAAATCCATTTTATACGTGAGTAGAACAAAAAGTTCCAAATCAGAATGCAGCTGACTGGAGATAATTACAGCTGAGTATGGAAAATTTCCTCAAATTGAACATTTCTTGATTAGTATACAGAAAAGAATTAAAACGAAAATACATAAATGACCTGTATGCTGTTGATTAGTTCCTGAGGATGCTCTACTCGAAAACCAACCTGTTTTAGCAAAGCAAGTTACGAAGATAAATTACTAATCAACATCCAAACTCAGGTATCATTGCATAATTTTTATTCATTTCTAAATGATATTGCCAACCACAAAACACATTCCAGAACGTATATGACTAACGTCCGCAGCTCTCAGTATCACCATGAAATGACAATGAAAATTCTGCAATATCCAGTACACCATTGGCGCCAAAACTTGGAAGAAAAGAAAAGGAAAACGCGATTGAGGATTGAGAAGAGAGAAATGAACTATCAGCAACTCAAGAAAACTGTTAAAAACTGTGTTTCACACAGCATCATATATCTGAGCTTACCTATGTGTGCATGTATTCAGATGGTTTTATAAGTGTCTGTTATAATATCTTAGGTAGGTGAGTAAAAGAACGAAAGCTGTAGTGGCTAACAGATTGGTCTGTCTGAATGCCCCACACTATGACAAAATGGCTACCCTTGGAATTCATTTTCCCAGAGCACAATATAAACTATTCATGTTTTTCACCAATGCAAGTTCACATATTTCAATTATGGGATAATGCTCACAACAACTGTTTTGATGCTTTTAGGATCAAACTAGCTGTAAGTGATGTTGGTTGATGCTGGGCAACATTGATAAAGTGACAAAAGTTGGAAATGCAGGGGAATGTGCTTTCACCATGAAATGACAATGAAAATTCTGCAATTTCCAGTAGACCATCGGTGCCAAAACTTGAAAGAAAAGAAAGG